ACGACTATGTACTGCTCCCATTTGTGGTCTATACATACTAAAGGGCAGATTAATCGAGTTCGTGTTATAATAATGCATTTAGAATTTTACTGAAGCTTGGCAAGAGGGATATTAGTATGACTCAAACCCTTGTACATAATCGTGAAGCTCTTCGTAGAAAAGAAATGGCGAACTTCTTTTTAAGAATTATAAAAAGTAAGAATGCAATAATTACAGCTATTTATAGCCCAGATGTAATGAAATGTAGTACGCTTTTGAGTACTTGGCTGAGCCATGTTTTTTAACAAATTTATTATGTACATTTTCTTGGTATTTATTCTTATTTTTCTGTAATTTTAGTTATGTTTATATGAGCTCGAAATAAAGTATATTATTATTATTATTATTATTATTATTATTATTATTATTATTATTATTATTATTATTATTATTATTATTATTATTATTATTATTATTTAGCGCTTCAAACGCCTCGTTCATTGTAATGGGGGAATCTCTTTCCATGTAATTTAATTTGGAGCTGGTTGTAAATAAATTAACATTTACAAATTTTAATATAGGTTATTACCGTGGCCGCAAATTACTACGGATTGCGTACACTATCGGGACGTTGTATTTGAAAACACAATGTGCGAAGTGTAGTTTGAAAATGGATCTAAAGCGTTGGTTTGGTAAATCGTTATGTCAAAACCTTTAAGACAATTTATAAAAAAACGAAAAAGTTGTATGCCATTAGTCAATAAATACTCACAGATATCCACCACAATCTAACGAGGCATGTACGTACCCCCCATATTCAAAGCACCAATCATTCAAGTTCATGCATGCATCTTTTTAACACTGTTGATCAGTAAAATGGCTATGAGGCAACCATCTTGAACCGAATTTTAAAAATTAGAAAAATATCTGGGTTCTCTATTTTACGAGTAGGTTAATGAAGTAAATCCAGCAATTAATTTTATTGGTCAAAACACAAAACTGACATATGCAATCAATTGTATAGTGACTGGTAATCCACAGTCGACCGTCTAATATTAATTGCAAGTGATAATAATTCATTTTTTTCACTACGAACGTAATAATAATATAAATAATTTGGGGACTGGTCTTAAACTGTTTTAGTACCTCTTTAAATTCGACCACTGGCGCAAGCACTAGAGATATGATGGTACTGTTTTTTCAAACTTGTTTCATAAAGTAATAAATGCAGTTTTACAACCATCCGAGTTGCCGTATTTAAATTATATAATTACTTATTTTAAGTAACATCTTTCTAAACTCACACATATAGCAAAAAGTAGTGATGAAATCAAAAGGTAATCTTATTACATGAATATTATTACAAAACGCTGCTACCACCTATTACAAAACGCGTCGGTATTTTTTTATTACAAAACGCTGCTACCCTTATTACAAAATGCGTCAGTGATTTTATTACAAAACGCTGCCACCCTTATTACAAAACGCGTAAGTTATTACAAAACGCGTCATTATTAGAAAATGCCGCAGTACAAACCCTCTTCCTACTGGTGCAACCATTGTCATACCAAGATTTAACAAAGGTTTTGTTCATGATTTCATTTGCAGCTCTACAGATCATATCCCCAAAATAGTTGAAGCCCTAGAAATATTACCTCTATTTAGTTGGTCCAAAATATATATCAGTCGAATGTATTTTTCCTTTAGTCCCCCAAATGAATAATAAGAAACTTTACGACTGTTTTCCTTCCAAGTATATTTCGTAATTTTAACACATAGGTCCAATTTATTACAAATCTCGTGCACATTGAGACTATATATATAAAGATCTGACACCTCGCCTTCAACCACTAGCTTGTCGTACCGTAATGATGCATGTTTATTTTCGTCTCTGGAATTTAATAGGAATAAACAAAGCTTACGTCGTTTGTCTAAATTTCGAAGCTTTGTCACAGTGTAAGGCCTGCTTATTAATATTGAGAGGAGCACCCACATAACTCTCACTGGACAGGTTCCTTCTCTGCTAGAATGGGGTAAACAAGACAATAGTACTGGAAATGAAATACACATGCACCAAAACACTCCTGGCTTTAATACCTCTCAAAATAATTACAAGAAACAAAGCACAGAAAAATACAATGAATAAATAAACTAAAATAGGGGATTGTCTAGGGAAGTGTGCATTGGGGATAAGCCACAGTTCCAAGATGTGGAAATTGATGACAGTCAATGGCTTCTGCAACACAACAGCGAAGAAATACCGGAGTATTGCTTGCAGAGGGCATTCTGGAGGGCACCGCCGAAAGCAGGAGATCGCAGAGCAGTTCATACAAGTCTCACAGAACGACGATTGAAGCCAGTATCACTTGTCTCACAATATCGCAGCAGCAATACACGGGTTCTTAATTTGAAATGATGGACCCCAACTGTCCTCAGTCTAGCCTATTTATAGGCATAAATGGCCCAAACTCAGGAACACCACCTGAGTTTCCACATGAGCCAATCAGAATGTGGTCTTGCTAGCAAATGTCTCACGTAGGCAACTCAGGAGATCGTAAACATCCTTTGTTATGTAAATCACAAGCACACTTGGTAGATTCCAATTGTCATTTTAGAGTTGTAAACATCCTTTGTTATGTAAATCACAAGCACACCTTCTAGATTCCAATTGTTCTTCCAAAGTTGTAAACACCCTTTGTGATGTAAATAACAAGCACACCTTCTAGATTCCAATTGTTCTTCCAAAGTTGTAAACACCCTTTGTTATGTAAATAACAAGCACACCTGGTAGATTCCCATTGTCCTTCCAGAGTTGTAAACATCCTTTGTTATGTAAATAACAAGCACACCTGGTAGATTCCCATTGTCCTTCCAGAGTTGCAAACTAGTATGACCTGTCAATCACCCTCATAACAGTTACCACAAGGCAATGCACACCGTTTCTTTCCATGATTTGAGGTAACGACAAAAACATAGAATAAAGGATGCTGACAAGCTTGCCTTCCGTCCCTTCCCATGTTATCAACACTGTCACTGCAAGTTTGACTGTTACAGTTCTTGTTCTAGAATTTATAGAAGCTTACTAAGTCAGTGCACAAGCTCACACAATGAGTAACTTCCGTTTGAGTATACGAAATAATTGGTAAACTACATGCCTTTGCTGATTTCAGTGTAAACATATCTGCTGCTACAGTTTCATGTATATGTACAATGAAATACTGCCATTTGTTTATAAGACTATGTTATCCGAATATACAGTAAAATAAATGAAAAGAAGACAGAAAGTACTATTACCGTGATTTCACATAATTATTTTGACATAGCCCTATGTTAGTAAACACTTGAAATATAACCCAAATGATCGGGTATAGATTTTACTCGGTATCGTCACCACAAGTGGAATGGACCACTATATGAACGCACTAATGTGATGCCGTCCCTGTGGGTGGACAGTTCTTTCCTGTAAAGGATACTCAAAACCCAGGGTATGTCATCTGTCTTCACCGAGTCTTTTATGCTTTTCGTCGTTCTGAATCGCGATATTTTAGTGTACCTGATGGTTTTAGTAAAAAATATGCGCGTGTTTCACAGTGACACACTCATGCTCTTCCGCTGCTCATTCATCGAAGCAATATGGTGAGGACGATTTAGAAAGCCTCCTATTCATGTATTGACTGACTGTCAATAAAAGGCACAGTATTGTAAGCTGTTTACGACATTTAAGTGCATTTTTAGTGTTTTTCTCTGATTTTGAAGTGTGCCTTGTTCTTACGTGTTTTTGTCAGTGCATTGAAAGAATGGTCCTCCAAATAACACAGTTCTCAAGGAGTCATTGAACATACAGCAACACCATATTTCATATTATCGGGGTACACACTTTCATTTACATCCACTGATGTATGTAAAATAATGAATCTATTAGTAGAGGATGTGATGTAAATAATAATGCATTAAATCAATATATGCAATGCAAATATATTTAAAAAACGTACTTTTTTATCCCATTAAATATTGTCCCGTATTTAATACTCTTACCTGAGATGAATAATGCACCACAATATATGCTGGAAACATAAAATATTCAAGACAACACTTGACTTGTATTTAGGGGTGGTACCCCCGTGGTTTGATTCCTATAAATAGTGTGAGGTTTTCTTTAATAGTCACACTAGTCTGTAGGGATTCTTAGTTGGACAATCACACTATACGAAGGTAGGTACACATATTAATCATGCGTTATAACTATTTCTAATTTGTATAAGTATACTTCTTAGTGTATGCGATGCACGAGTAACGAAATCACACAGGCGCTTCAAGTTTCGGTTACTCGTACGTTTTCTGTAAATCCCGCTAAATAAAATAATAACCATTTGGTGATTTTTGATTACTGGAGATCTCTGGATTGAATTAACAAGGCAACGATAAATTATGACTGCTAATCCACGTGGACAATCACAGTACGCTTCTACATATATTTAATTTAATTGTTATACCATTTTTTCGGAAATTACATATAGTATGACAAGTCATGTGACAGAATATGGATGCTATTGATAAGGCCGGACTTTTATTATCCCTTGTTTCGCGAGCCCGCCGAATAAACAGGAGCCGAAAATGAAATAAAAATAACATTTTATTTCAGCGTAATTTCTCGCGTCCGCCGACTTGTAAGTGCAAAAAATTGCTAAAAAACTTATTTTTATCTTCATTTTTTTCCGCCCGCCGCATAACAAACCCAAGTTGCATTTTTGTGGGAGTATCATGATCAAAGTACCGAAGTCTCGCGCAGATGAGAAACAGGTTATACATGGAATAAAATGTTATTTCATTTCTTCTCTCCGATCAATGATATCACTAACAATTCTTTGAGAATCACACAAAAATCTAATGGAAAAAAAGAATTAATTTTATTTTTTTCCGCCCTCCGCAAAAACATTGCCTAACAAAAACTCGAAAAACAAGGAATAAAAAAAAGTCTGGCCTAATATTGAAAAAAATACAGATATATCAAATATGTTACAAGAAAAGATTCAAATTGCTCAAGCCACCACAGTAAGTACAAGAACAGAATACTTCCTGGTTTTCTTAAATCTAACAAAGTTTTTGAACTACGTGAACAGTCATGGTGGATTTGGTGTTGTTGATCTTGTAAGAGGCCTAACTAAACCAATGATGTAATTTTAAACAAAAGTAATTGGTCGAGTAGTGAACATGATGTGTAAGCCGTTTCTCGTTAATCCAATGTGGTGATCAAGCCATGTGACTTACTTTTTGACATACGCCCTCTATTGACAATTTGTGGAAATTGTAACACGATAGCTGTTTCGTATCTCGGGACATGACTAGAAAAATATTAACGGCTGTATTGTAATCTATCAAAACATATGTGAAAGGCGTGCTCGGTATGCAAATAAGGTTAAATTATTATTGAGAGTATTATAATAACTGGACTGCTCCTGACCATTGTATAATAATAACTAGACTGCTCCTGACCATCGTATTATAATAACTAGACTGCTCCTGACCATTGTATTATAATAAATAGACTGCTCCTGACCATCGTATTATAATAACTAGACTGCTCCTGGCCATCGTATTATAATAACTAGACTGCTCCTGAACATTGTATTATAATAACTAGACTGCTCCTGACCATTGTATTATAATAACTAGACTGCTACTGACCATCGTATTATAATAACTAGACTGCTCCTGGCCATCGTATTATAATAACTAGACTGCTCCTGACCATTGTATTATAATAACTAGACTGCTCCTGACCATTGTATTATAATAACTAGACTGCTCCTGACCATATCGTATTATAATAACTAGACTGCTCCTGAACATTGTACCATAATAACTAGACTGATCCTGCTCCTGACCATCGTATTATAATAACTAGACTGCTTCTGAACATTGTATTATAATAACTAGACTGCACCTGACCACCGTATTACAATAACTAGACTGCTCCTGAACATTGTATTATAATAACTAGACTGCTCCTGGACATTGTATTATAATAACTAGACTGCTCCTGACCATCGTATTATAATAACTAGACTGCTCCTGAACATTGTATTATAATAACTAGACTGCTCCTGGACATTGTATTATAATAACTAGACTGCTTCTGAACATTGTATTATAATAACTAGACTGCTCCTGAACATTGTATTATAATAACTAGACTGCTCCTGACCATCGTATTATAATAACTAGACTGCTCCTGACCATCGTATTATAATAACTAGACTGCTCCTGACCATCGTATTATAATAACAAGACTGCTCCTGACCATTGTATTATAATAACTAGACTGCTACTGACCATTGTATG